GGATTAAAGCATCACACACACACACACACACACACACACACACACACACACACAAATGAAGACTGTAGTGTTCACTTACTAGTCTGATACTTGGGCCATTCTTAGGTGTCAGTATTAGCAATTAGTTTGTACAGTGCACTGCCATCAAAAATCTATCAAATCACTACATGTTTCTAAAACACATTCTGACTTACTCTTGAGTCAGACACAGTGAAATGAATCTGAATTAATTTTTGTGTGTACATATATGAATACACCACAGTGAATCCCACCATCGTGAACATCCACAAGAATGGGGTCCTAATTAGAATAAGATATATTCCATGCTTGTATAATTATATCAAAATGAATTCTACTGTCTCATGTTGAACTAAAAAGAACCAATAGAAAAAAAGGAGTCAGATATTTAGTTTGAACTTTGCAGGTGTGCGGCTAACTTTTGCCATGTGAGCTACAGGTAGGTAAGGCCCCAGGAAACTACAGTCACCTCTATTTTAGGCGGCACAGTCTTGCTATTGAATAAAGCATTATATATTTTTAACTTCTGTCAGGACCCATGCAGGAAGAGTTGTCCAAGCTCCTTAGTGATCAGCTCTTTGCAGATGGCAACCCTCTCAAGCAGTTTTAAGAACTGGGGCTGGAGAAGTTTAAGGTAGACAAAAATGGTCTACCTATTCCATATGACAGAAATTGCTGTTGAGGCATTTTATGTACATTGTGTGTGTGTGTTTTGTGTGTGTGTGAGTGTGTGTGTTGTGTGTGGTATTGGGGATTCAACTTGGGGCACTCTACCACTGAGTTACATCCCCAGCCACACCCCTATTTAAAACAATTTTTTGAGACAGGGTCTTGACAGGTTGGCCAGCTGGTCTTCAATCCTCCTGCCTCAGCTTCCCAAGGTGTTGGAATAAAGGCCTGTACCACTACACCTGGTGCTGTCCATTCTTCTTCTTTGTTTTTTAAAAATATTTTTAGTTATAGATGGACATAATCCCTTTATTTTATTTATTTATATATGGTGCTGAGGATCAAACCCAGTGCCTTACACATGCCAGGCAAGTGCTCCACCACTGAGCCACAACCCCAGCTCCGAGCTGTCCATTCTTAATCAACAATTAGTTGACAAAGCATTCCATAGAGCATCATAGCCAGTACCAGTGTTCAGAAACTCTTACAATTAAGGATTCCTCTTTAAGTCTGATTTAATTTACTCCTACTGATCATTAATTAATATCACTCTTGGGGGGGATATTCACTGTGGTTTGTATATTTTCATTTCAAAATGTTCAGAACAGGCTTAGGACGTATCATTGATTCTGTGATCTGAATATTGCAATCAATAATTTGGCCTATGAAATAGCTTAATGTACTCTCTTTGGATTTTAAAACTAAAAGATTAGAGAAGAAGTATGGAACTTCTTTGCATTATCTATGCAAAATAATTGTTGAAAAAACACAAAATACTTCCATGAACATGTTAACTATTCATATCTCAAAGAAGCCTGGAATACCATTGTGAAATAGTCAAAAAATTGTTTTCACTCACAAGCCTCCATGGGGTATAAGACCAAAATCAGAAGTGGCATCAACCTCTGATCAACTCATGAGTGTATTGGCATCTGCCCCTTCACACTGCACACTTAACCCTTCCAATCTAGAATTCCTCAGAGAGCAAGATAAAGGACACATTCAGCATGACCTGCTTTATCAGCACGTGGCCTGTGACTCACTATACACACTCAAACGTCTGCACAACAAATTCTTATTGATCACATTTGTGCCAAACAGCGAGAATTTAAAATATTGTGCTTTAAAAATATGACATATCCGTTCTATAGAATAATGGATTTTAAAGTTTATGTCAAGCCCCAGAAGCCTGGAGCTCTTCTGGCAAAGGGGATGCCAAAGTCTATAATATTTCTTGCCAAGGTTTGGCCAAGTTCTGCAGAATTCCCAGGGGCCCCCAACGAAAACATACTGCAGAGCCGTGGCACTGTTATGATCTGGCTTCTACAGTTTTATTGCATGATGAAATGTTTCCACATCAGAACAGAATATCCCAGTGAATCTTTCATTCAGTATCCTAATGAAAGGGTGTAAATTGAAATAGAGGGAACTCCAAAGTAACCCTAATTTAAAAGGCAGCTCAGGTAGTTAAACTGAAGTATAAATAAGAATATTAGTTTTATTACTCCTTAAACAACATTTTCCAGGATTCTGAGCCCTTTTTACATCTCCATTTTATCATAGATATCTAAGACCAATATTTTTAATCAATTAGTATTTGAAAACTATACATTAGTCTCCCAAATATATTTTAAATATATTTTAAAGCAAATTGGCAAGGCGTATTATGGTATATATCTTTCAACTCAGTAATCATCTTTCTGTAAACACACATTAAGAGAGTCATTCATCAATCAGGTTAAATAATAGGTATGAGAGTGATAATGGTATTTACAAAGGTAAAAAAAATACTGGAGTCATTCTAAATGTCTCTAAAAGGTTTTAAAAAATAAGTTTTTAAGAAAAGTTTTCAACCTGGGAAAGATCTCAAGACATATTGTTAAATAAAAAAGAGTGGTTAAAAGGATATATACAGTGTATGAGTGTATCTTTTTCCTGCTTCCTAGCCAAGACTTTGTGTTGTTTGTATGCATAATAGCTGCCATTCTGACTGGACTGAGATGAAATCTTTGAGTGGTTTTGATTTGCATTTCTCTAATTGCTAATGATGATGAACATTTTTTCATGTATTTGTTGACAGATTGTACATCATCTTCTGAGAAGTATCTCTCCAGGTCCTTGGCCCGTTTATTGATTGGGTTATTTGTGGGTTTTTTTTTTTTTTGGCATTTAGCTTTTTGACTTCTTAATATACTCTTAGTGATTAGTGCTCTATCTGATGTGTGAGGGGTAAAGATTTGCTCCCAAGATATAGGCTCTTAATTAATGATGGTGAATGTGATCATTATTATCCAAAGTTCATGTATGAAGACACAAATTGGTGTGAATATACTATGTATACAACTAGAGATATGAAAAATTGTGCTCTACATATGTAATAAGAATTGTAATGCATTCTGCTATCATATATAAGTAAAAAATAAATACTTTCCATTAAAAAAAGGATATACACATATGCACATGTATACACAAAGGTGTATATGTTCATACATGGGATTTCATTTTAATTTTATTTGAAAGTTGCCTAGGAAAAAAAGGTAAAACAAAACCAAAAACAAATAAAAAACTCAATAAAACAAAACATCTCTAAAAGTACATTCCTTGTCTGTTTTTACACTTACTAACATGGACCTCAATTATCTTTGTAGAAAGAAAAGAATTCCTTTAATTTAATATCAGAACAAAGTCTATCAAATGTTAATAGTGGTTTTCTTTAATCGACATGATTATGGAAAATGTTTTTAAAAATATTTTCCCCATTTTTCTTTTACAGAGAGCACATTCATTTCCATAGGGAGAAACAATGTACAGCTAGTGAGTAAGGCTCCTGATGGGGCATCTGAATTTCCACCCATTAGAACCATCGGCAGTGAGTTATCAAGACACATTTCAAAAGGGATTTTACAAACCCCAATGTGCAAAATACTAATGCTTCACTTTGATTATCTGCTGTGAATTGCAATGAAAATTTCATTGGGTGAAAGTTGAAACCATTGAATTAAAAAGATTTTCCAAATGATCCACGTGTGTTGATACCCAAGTCTTTTCCATAAAAGGCATATTTTCTATGCAGCATGCTTGGTGGTACCCTCACACCATGAGCTTGAGATGTGGGGGTCCCAATTATATGGCATTATTACCTGTATTCTAGTTGACTTTTTTTTTTTAATGTGGTAGGTACTGAATACATATCAGGGATATATCATACTTTTTTTCTAACTTGTCTCTTCTGGTTTTGATGGTGGTATATTTGAGTAGAGAATAACAGAGCAAGAAGGAATTCATTTTATATAAATAGAAAAAAAAGCCATCCTCCTTTGGTGTTTTTGTTTGTTTGTTTGTTTTCAGTTAAGAAGTGCACGGTGGCACACACACCTGTAATCACAGCGCCTCAGGAGGCTGAGGCAGGAGGACTGTGTGGGTTCAAAGCCAGCCTCAGCAACTTCGAGGCACTAAGGATCTCAGTGAGATCCTGTCTCTGAATAATATACAAAATAGGGCTGGGGATGTGGCTCAGTGGTTGAGTGTCCCTGAGCTCAATCTCCGTACCAGAAAAAAAAAAAGAATGAAAGAAATGGAAAGGATAATCAGTTCTCCTGAAAACATACTGTTATTATGTTTCATTCTAAACTCATCATGAGCTGTTAGTGTGTCTTCATTTTGGAATGCCATAACTTGCTTTATAGCTTCCTACTGCTAATATTGTACTGTGTTACTCATGGGAAACAAACCTGACCAAGTTTTACTCATATATTCAGATTATTTAACATGAGAATTCAAAGTACAGAAGTGAGAAAGAAGAAGCAGTGGCACTGATATATCATATAGGTGTCTAATTATAGATAAAAATATTTGACTTACCTGTAAAACCATTGCACAAGGAAGTGACAGTATAAAAAGCATTTTGATGACAGACTCAAAAATACATACGATAAAAAAATTATTTGTAATAGCCAAAATAACCAAAAGATCTCCGTTTCAACTAGCAAGTGCTGATATATAATCGTACTGATATATCCATTAAACAATATTTAAACAATCACTTTATAAAGCCAAAAGTAATTTTAAAAGGGAAAATTACAAAGAATGTCAAAATACCAAACTGATTGCATTCTTCACAGTCAGCAAGTAACATAAAAATGTCACGCCATTATCCCTTCAGCTGTCATCATTATTGTTCCCTTATGTTGCCTAGTTGTTTTCTCCTTCAAATTTCTTTCTTTTATTACAAAGAATCACCTTCAATGACGAAGATAACACTAAAATAAAATCAACATAGCCAGAGCAAAGATAAATAAATTGAAAAAGCCAACCTTTATTCCACTTTGAACAAGTTTGTGAATGTCCAAATAAGGCTCCTTGAATATTTCTCCTTCGGGGGTGAGAATCTTCACGTAACCTTCTTTTTCCAGAATGAAGAGGCGGTGGGAGCCATCCCCACTGTGCAGGGCACCCACAGGCTGCCGCAGCCCACTCACAACCTCCTGAACGCAGAAGCAGTTGTGTTTGTGCTTTCTAAACAAATGAAAGAAACCCAGTGAGCTTCTCTTGAGATGAAGCACCCAAGGAGTAATCTCAGCATCCTTTCCAAACTTTATTTCCCCTAGAAGTCAGTGCTTTGGAGAATCAGGAAGGGCTGCTAACCCCGAGAGTCAGAATAGGATTCTTTCAGATCTTTTCCATGGAAAATGATCAAACAGAGTTCTGTCAGAAAGTAAAAGTGAGAATCCAGACACATATGCATTTTAAATTTTCATAAGCTCATTATCTCATCTGAATGATGGAATCTTATAAGAAGGCACTCAGAGAGAAAGTCCTATGATCTCTATGTAAAAGTCCGATTTGCTCATAATTGTGCTGAACAGGTACACAGCACTATCAGTGAACAATCATAAAATTCAAGTTTAAAACTATACCCATAAAATTCACATGAGTCAGAGAGAAGCCACGCTCATAACTCAGGATTAATAGTCTTAAGTATTTAAGCTATGATTTTAGAGGAGTAAACTATCCAAAAGTGGGGGAAAACAGCATCTGGAGGACATATCTGCTGAATATAGGAATCACAGACAGTTGTGTTACTGTCAAAGACATAAGATTTAGGACTGGGGTGTAGCTCAGTGGTAGAGCCCTTGCTGAGCGTGTGCAAGGCCCTGGGCTCCAACCCTATCACCTCAAAGACAGAAAAAAAAAAAAAAAAAAAACAAAGAAAAAAATCTCATAACATTTGTCACTTTTGTTTGGGGGCAGTACTAGGGATTGAACTCAGGAGCACTCAATCACAAAGCTACATCCCCAGCCCTATTTTGTATTTTATTTACAGACAGGATCTCACTGAGTTGCTTAGGGCCTCACTAAGTTGCTGAGGCTGGCTTTGAACTCGAGATCCTCCTGCCTCAGCCTCCCAAGCCACCGGGATTATAGGTGTGTGCCACCACACCTGGTTGTCACTTTTTTTTTTTTTTTTTAAGATTATAAAGAACATTTGTCTATGGACCTGCTTATCTCTTCCACTTTGTCATATTCTTCCATCTGGTCCAAGTAGTTAGATGCTGGTCCCCTGACTTGCTTTCTTGGAAAATCTGGAAAGCACAACCCACCATCTTTTCTTGCATAGTAAAAGCAAAACTCATCCGCCGTTGTTTGAAGAAAACCTTAAAGCAATGCAAAAAAAACACATTAGAAACATTTACTGTCACAGCCAAACCACCTCGTTGGAAAGAGGTGACACTGGAAAAGACACTTTTTCAACACTATGTCAATATTCTAAGGGGGGAAAAAAACTAAAATAACAGAAAAGGGAAAAAATCAGAGGGCGTTTGGGATTCACATTTCTTCTTTAACTAAAATTATCAATTTCATGACATACATATAATACAAACCCAGTATTAATCTTTTAGTGCATTGATTCTTTTCATATTTCCTCACTGATCATGACATAACCATAAGCTCTTTTCAAACAGTAGGTGTCTGTTTCTTGCACTTCACTTAACAGATGATACTGATGGTTTTGYAATATAAAAATTATAAATTATCCCTTCTATCTTCTCAAGCTGAAAAGTTGACACCAGTAAGCCAAAAGAAAAATACAAAACAGCCTTATTTGATAGGATGTAAAAGATGTTTTTTTCTTTTCTTACATATTAAGAATTTTATCAAATAAATACAGCTATCTTAGAATATAAAAGAAAAAGATTTTGTAATAAGAAGAAAAAAAAACAAGAGTTTTACATTACTTTTTCAATTTGAGTTTATAAGATATTGGCTTTTTGTGCATATTAATAAAACTCACTTTTGTATTCTGATAAGTTCTTCTTTCAAAATATGATGTTACCAGAGTCCGCACAGACCAGAATCTGTAGTTACCAGTAGTCCTATATTGCTTCTTCTGGTCTCCTACTTTATCATCTTAAAAGTTTCAATTTTTATCTATTGAATTAAATTATTGTGCTCTCTATTATTTGGTGATAAATACACCAAGTAACATAGCTGAAATTTAGGAATTTTATAACAAATTCAGGTTTATAAGGTTTCTAAGAACAGGATTCTGGGGTCAACCAAGTAAGGCTCACCAATGGAGCAGGAAAGACACTACAAGTTTATTTCCTATGAGCTTGATTAGAATGTCAGGGTCCTAGTTGTTTAAAGTCCGAAACACATTTTAACCTAACTTTTGGATGAAATGTGTTACTTTTCAATATCTGAGAGACAGTCTTCCAGATTGATTTCCTCCTAGACTATGGGGAAGGGTCTTGCGTTTGGGCACCAGGCAACTAGAGCAGATGTCCTTGAGAATATGTATGCCTATGGCAGAGGACACAGAGATTGAAGTTCTGGCAGTTAGATGGGTGCTCCCTAGGAGGGGAAAGCGCCTGGAAGGTTTTCTTTGAAAAAAATCAAGGATTAAAAACTAGGGATCCCAGAGGCTTGGGAGGTTGAGGCAGGAGGATCACAAGTTCAAAGATAGCCTCAAAAACAAAAACAACAACAAAAATGGGCTGGGAATGTGGCTCAGTGGTTAAGTGCCCCTGGGTTCAATCTTCAATCCCTGGTACAAACAAACAACAATAAAACTTGGGAAAGGAAGGAAGGCAGCCATACATTTACTCATCTTCAGCAATTCACTGTTTGCCAAAGATTTATATTTTTCCTGATCTCATCCTTTAATGGCTAAGCATACAGATGAAAACTTCCTAATAGTGGCAAACAAGTCTCTTGGAACAAAAATGAGAAGGAAAACAGAATTGCTAAATTCAACTCTCTGTACTGTTTGGGGCTGAATCTTACTTTGAAGAGAGAGACATACACACACCTTTGAAGTATATACTATCAGGCAGCAAGATCTTCATGCCAATATGCACACAGGAAGACTGTCAGGCAATGAATCTGTTTACAACTGAATTTGAAAAAAATTTGTTTTAATGTGATGTTTGCCTGTAAGGTCACAGAAAAAAAATTTAAATTCAATTCGGAAGAAAATTTAAGTTTGCTTCAAAAAAAGGAATTTGTATATTCTAGCATTACAAGCTGCAAACCAATATCATTTCAAGGGGAAGTTAATGGACCATTCATTCCATTTTATAAGGACTTCTTAGCTGGGGACAAATGGGAGGAAATGAGAAATCATTTTCAAATAGAATATCTTAAGATTAATAAGTGCATGTTTATAAACACTGTTACCACAGAAGTACTATGCTATCTTTGCAAATTAAAAAAAATACAGAATATAAGCACACATTTTTCCTAGCTTCTTACAAAATCTATTCTCACAAAATTTATTCACATTGAATAAATGTGAAGAAGGGAGCCAGCTCAGAAGACTTTATATAAAAATATGGGCACTGTTTTTACAATCATGATATATTAGTATCTAAGACTTTTAAATTAATATTTTCCTTTAAATTACCTGATTTTGCTGTGGGCAATGATGAAATAGACACATTTGTTGTGAACAGCCCAAAAGGACTTGGTCTCAGGGCTTTGGTTAACACTTATTGCAAGGGAAGGTTTAATCCACCCTTTGGTTTGGAAGAATACACTAATGAGCTTTCACTGAAGGTGCATCCTTAGCACATCCTGGGTCATCTTTACAAGGTTAGGTCTGCTGATGATGGATGTATAGTGAGTATCAAACAGCTGCACCTTTTAAATCCTAATTACTTATTGAGTCTCCTGGGCCAGTAGCCATTCTCCTGGATTGGGAGTCCAGTCCTGCTATGCTACAGAACACCCTAGAAAATACTGATCTGTAACAAATACCCGCTATGGGCAGTCTGGGCTCTATCTCTATTCTCAGAGAAGTTCTTCTTCCTTGTCGTAGGTATACTCATTGTGAAAAGGGAAAAGGAGGAAAGAGCTCCTGATCCCTTGGCAGAAGGCCTGCACTTAGGGACATTTTCTGGTAGAAGCCATAGGATTTGAGGTAGCCATCCATTTCCTCCAGTTTGCGCTTGGGATAATAAGACCCGTGTGAAAACAGCTGATAAAGTTGGGAGTGGCTGTGGGTCACGGGAACTTGATGGACTCATRATTCGCAACAGGATTAAACTAGCCGAACTGACTGTGTGCAGATCTTTGACTCCACAGTGCCCTACTCCTGGGGAGACCAAAAGTGACAGGAATCACCATGATACCAGGAGCACAGAGAAGCAAGGCCCACTGGGTGCCTTGGTACGCCTCTCAGAGTGCCAGATGCAGTCGTTTGGTGAACAGCAAAGCATCCCATGTGCTTGTGCAGGCAAGTAAAAAGACCTGGGGGGTTGGACAGAGGGCGCCTGTGGTTTTTGAATGTAATGTTGAAATTTCTAGAAATTTAAAGAATTTACCTCTCTGAGAAAATTAATAACTGGAGAACATTATGATTAGTATAACTCTAGTGTATGAGCACTTCTATTGCTTTTTAATTTCTTTTCCCATTTTGGGGAAAACAAGAAAACCATGACTATTTCTGGATTTAAATTTCTAGAAATGATCTGTCTTTCAGGTTATACGAATACTCTAAGATGACCATACTTTTTTAAAAAAAAAAAATTCAGTCTTTCTAGATATTCACAACAGTAGAGTGTCTTCTGACACATTCTTGAAGAAGAAAGGCAAAAGGTTCGCTCATCGACACGGGTTTCCTCGTATACTCAGCAACACAGGGGAAATGAAGATGCTTCTGAAGTTCCTTTCTCTCTCCTGGTCCCTTTCAGTGTTTTCTATCATTCAGCAAGATCCACCTTCCTTTTCAAGTTTTTGATTTGTAAAAATCAAAACTCGAAGTCACTGGTAAGAACAGCTGAGATCTGCTGACCAGTCTTTTATAAATAAGAAACCCAAAGTAGCTGTTTTCCACAATTATGGACTTCAGAGAAATGCAAACCCATATTATTCAAGAAGGTGAAACTCATACCAACTTGCTCTCACAACCATTTCTGAAAAATGAGTGCTCTAGAAGTCTACAGACACTACGCAGGGGCTGAGGGGAGGATTTCTACCTTATCCATCACTCTTTAGGAAATGGTAACCTGTGTGCCAAGGGTCAGTCTGACTAACAGATTAATTAGCAGAAGTAACCCAAAGGGTGTGTCATTACAACTCTCTTTGGGGACAAATATTTTAAATGATGTTCAGCATGTGATATGGGAAGGGGAGGTCCCCTCTGCTTGCTGCTGAAGTCTTCCAGCGTCTCTGGAAAGCACCCTTACAGCTCCATCCACCTCGAAAGTGGAGCTTTCATCTGGCTATCTTTCAAGGCTGCCTGGGTGGCCACCAAAAGCACTTGACATCTTGATGCACTTCAGCAGTTTTACATATACACAAACTTTGTAGAAAAATAAATTTGTCATTCGTCACCACATATGTTGATCTGGGGAGTGAGGTGCTTGCAATTCTCAAATGCTAAAATGACTTTAAATATATAAAGACCCCCACAGACAAGTCCACAACTCCACCATCGCTGTATTTATCTATAATCGATAAAGGTAAATAAAGATGCCAAGTGTTCGCAACACTTTCAGCTTAGTTGAAGGCCAACCTTTAAGATTTGGCAGTTTGCAGCTAACCTTTATGGTTTCTAATCTGTTATCACCTCTCTGCAGGCCATCTAGACACCCATGACCTGTTTGCTTCGGAGAGTGATAAGGAGGAAGAAACAACGGGTTTAAGGGAAGTCTTAGAAACATGACTCTAAGTTTATAAAGACAATAATATTTTCTCATAGGATGGGTTTAGGTACATGTTATGCTAAAGTCAAAGGAAGCAAGTAACCAGTCAAAATACTTTAGGTTATTAAGAGAAATACATTAAAAATACAAAAATCTGCACTTCTCTAGGCCAGAAAAAAATATAAAATATATATAGCAGTTTGAAAAGTTCTCCAAGTGCATCCTACAGTTCTTAAGGCTTATCTTTTCTTTTATAAACAGCTAACTTCAGTAGTTTTGTTTGTGTGTGATTTGGCCTAACTAAACAGAGTCTGTCTCATTAAATTCTTTTCTTCTTCTTTGTTGATCCTTCCAATGAAAGCAACAACAACCCAAGCTGACAAACTCTGGATGATTAACTTATTCAATGCCCAGGAATCTCTGATTATTAGAGTCTTGTGATAACTTTGTACTTTCCCATTCTAATGACTTTGAATGAGGCATGGGACTTCTCCTGAGGGCTTGGTTTCCATCATCTGTCTAATAGAGAGGACTCCACTGTCCCCACCAACTTCAGGGAGTTTCGGGGCAGCAAATTAGCCTCTTATGGAGTGCTTTGTAAGATGTTATTTGTTAGGGTTCCCAGTCATATTTTATTTAAAGGAATATCTTAAAAGTCAGTAGGTATTCTCCAATCATCTATTAGTTTTGTAGAAGAGGCTGACTTTGATATTAACAATGGAAGGTAAAGAAATATGTATGTAGCTGGGGGTGTAGCTCAGCCATAGAACGTGTGCTTAGCATGCACAATGTCCTGGGTTCCAACCCTAATATCAAAAGAAAAATAAGACAGAAAAAGAAATCTATACTACCAATCCAACACATATAGAGATTACCACCTGTATTATGAGTTCAATTAGAAATGTAAAACATTTCAGCAAGACCAGTAGACTATCTGTAGACTTTAGAAATTACAACAGTAGAAATTATAATACTTCTTTTTGTAGAAATAAAACTTAGAACTTTGGAAGGGTTCATTTAAAAATAAAATAGGGATTTTGAAAGGCAAGATGCATTTTACAACTTGTTAACAGGTTTTTTTAGAACAGGCATCTAACAAGGAAMATTTGCAATGGTTCATTTAACTTGTTCTTGTCTTTTTACCTGGAATATGGCCTCGGCAAGTATAAAAGAATTCTTTGCAATAGTCTTTGCAGAGCAGGGGAAGTACTAGATCTCTTTCCAAGACTTCTCTTTCAGGTGAGTGAAACAGGCTCTGAGAATGTGGAGAGCAAAGTGCACATTTGATTTCCTCCAGTAACTTCCCACATTCTGTGTTGTTGGTCACAGAAAATATCTGAAAGCCATAAATCAGAAACAAATGATGTGAAGTTAGGTTTGGTCACGTTTTTCTTACAATTATGTAAGCAGATAAGCCTAATTCAGCCAGTGAAGTTTTCTGAAAAGAGTTCCTGGGTCATAATCCAGGATGCCTTTATAAGTATATGAGCTCTCTCTGGGGTGGGTTGGGGGAAACAGAAGTCAGGGATCATAAAAGGGATCATCAAAGTCTATGACTCTGTCTTTCAGGTGTGAAGAATTAGAAGACAATTACATTTAGACTGTTGAATGCTTTAGCGCCTTTTTCTGCCTCAAAGTGATATTTCATGTTCTGCCATTGAATGATAATTCCCTTAAAAAATGCCAAATACCTTTATGCAACTGCACACAAAGCCTAATTTTTAAAAACATGGCTCATTTGTGTCTTAGGTGAAAATCTATTTCATTCTTGAAATTCCCAATATGATATTATAGTAAACGTGCTCAGATAACATTTTTAAAAATTTCTACTAATTTTCAATCTAAAGACTACCTAGGGAAAGTTTTCTAAACTGCCTTTCATGTTCTATAAAAATACCCGAAGCTGAATCAAACAGGTTTAAGACCAATTTTTATTATTCATTATATCTTAGCCAGGAAAAACTTTCTAACTAACTCCTCAGGTATGCTATATGCATGAATAAACACAAGAGTTTAATGAAAGTGCTTTTGTATAACATGAATTTTAATGAAACAAGGCATACTTTTATTATTATTTTTAAGATGATACACCTTTTATTTCAATAAAACTGATTTCAAACTTATTGATCCATAGAGGTTAGTAATTAGTAGAGAGAATAGACTTGGTATTTCATGCTAACATTAAAAAGCTGGTATCAGGAGCACCTTTAATAAATACTGAAGACAATATCAGCACAGCATTTGAGACAAGAAATGCAAAGCTGTCCAAATCAAGCATTTTTCCATATTAAAAAAATGCTAATAAATTTCATATGTTTTCCCAATTCATTCAATTGCCTTTCTATTATTTCTTTAGAACTATGCACTCAAATTAATGTTTCAAACTCTAGATCACTGTTTAAAGCAAACAGTTCATTCATAAATTGAGCTTCTAATTTGAATAAATCATATGGCCTCTATATTTTAGGATTATGACATCATAGGTGATCATGAAATGCCTGATGTAGAGGAACAAGGTAACAAAAGAAATACAAGCATGCTGACATTTAGGCATGCAGTATTTAAAAGTCCAATAGAAATTACCCTATTTCAGGTAAAAAAAATATACGATATGCTATAACTATATACAATATTCAGAAAAGTCATTCTTAATCACAATGATATTTATATTTTTAATTTTATCAATTTATTTAAATGACAATTGCTTAAATGGTTAAAGTTTTCTAAAGGGAAACATACACCAGACACTTAGAATTTGCATTCCAAGAATGTTTTAAATGTCTTTTATTGTCCATACTCTGGCGGACCTCACCAGATCTATTCCATATTAATTGTGCTCAGCTTGGTTTTGCTTGTTTATCATCTAGCAGTGAAAGAACAAAACAACTACAGGATGCTGAAGCCACCTTTTTTACTGGATGAAAAACTGGATTGTAATTACTCTTGGTTTTATGAAGAATACGAATGCTTCCCTTTTTTTTATAGTTGAAACAAAATGATCCCCAAATACTCTCCTAGAGGCTATCCAGGAAGAGCTTGATTTTAAGTGTCTAAAGAATTTTGTCTTTCCAATTTTTGGAATGAGTCCTGGCCACAAGATCCCTCTTCAAAAGTTGCAGAAATAGGATTCAATAAATTATCTGAAATCGAGTATAATATTATTCTTTTTAAAGTTTCATGCTGTTCCGGCCCAGCAGGATGGTAACATTTTGCTCTGTGTGAGGTCTGCAGTGTAAATACCTATTTGAAGATAGATAGAGCCATCATTCTGGCTTGGGTTTCAATGAACATTGCAATAGTCTTACTGAAGTCAATTAAACTGACTCGGCCAAAGCCACTACTCTGGTTTAGACAGATGAGTACTAGTGTGGGTATTGGTAGGGTGATTTTTTTTTCTTTTCCTTTTGTATTTATTTATTTTTGCCTGTATATCTATGTTCATCCAGGTCCTTAACTTTCTGACAATACAATCCATCTTCAGAAGAATTTTAAGCTAATTTCCTGTTTCAATTTTTTAAAGCCATATACAAAACCATCTAATTTATAGTGGTTTAAACTGAATATACTTTGGAAGAAATCATGTTAAAAGTTTGATACATTATTGCAGCATGCCCAGTAATGAGTGTGGCAGTGACTGACTAATTTGTAACATCTGGCAGGTCATCCTTTTAATCTTGGGCCACGTGAAAGTGAAATCCATATAAGAAAGTTAAGATAACTCCTGGGATACAGGAGAGTGTGGCCTACAACTATAGCTTATCAACAAACAGTAAAACGGTGACAGAGACCTTCTGTATTTCTCCTTATTTATCAAGTAACTAAACAAAGAGGGTAAAAAAGACACCCACGTGGGTTCCAGAAAAGGACAAAAGGAGAAAATAATGACAGTATATTAAAATATCGCCTTAAGATCACTTGGTTACACAAAAAGTTATTTCTAAAAATCATATGCCTACAAGGTTGTTCAGCTGTTCCTTAGAACACTTGCGTCTCTGGACTATATTGCTGGATTATGTCATTAAAGAGTTCAGTTTCAATTTTAGGCTAATATGTAAATAGATCATTGTACTAAGGCAGCTGTTAAAGGGACCCCAGGATGAGTTATTTGTTTAGTTGGATGTGTTCAACAATAGCCTTTGTCCCTGAAAGAGCCAGAGCAAACAAATGATTGTAAAAGGGCACACTTGAAAACAATTACTTTTCACCCATTCCTTGACAGCTTTGGCTGTGAAACCACCCAAGGTAGAGAGAGCCTCTATGCCTCTGTGGCTACAAGTTAAGTTTTAGAAATGGGGGCAACTCATTTGGTCTGGGTTTAATTTGRTTAATGGAAATTAGATCTTTTTAGCATGTTGTATTTAGGAACTGCAAAAATATTCCTGAGACAATATAACTTCCTAAATTTTGGCAGTACTTATTTGAAAGGCAGTTTACAACCTCATTGCAATACATGACGTTATTATAGTGTACAGGAATTAAAATACAAAAACACAGTATCATGGCTAAGGAAATGAACTCAATGCTAGTTCATTAAAGAAAAACTGTTAGTGTAGAAACTAGAATTAATTGCAGAGCTAAGCATGTTAATATTCCTACCTAGTTTCTTACTATCTATTTGTCAAATAATTTTTTTCCCTTAGGAAAAAAGCTACTACTTGAAAAACTGCAGAAATCTTTCCTGGGGAAATATATTTTTTTCTTTCCTAAACAAAAAAGGGCCCTTTCGAATAGCCATCATCTCTCCTGTATACACATTATGAAATAAGACCCTAACATATATTATAATCCAGGAAGGCTTATGGGGGAAAAAGGAAACACTGAAGTTTATTATAAAATAACATGTTTTGAAAACTATTAAAATTTGAGAACTAACATAGGTCAAGAATGCATATGCATAGCTATATCAAATCTCTGGTTTGAACAATTTGAGTACTGTTGGTTTATAAACCACTTGTAATGGAACCAGCAAAGACCAGGGTGCCCAATTTAATAATGCAGACACATTTTCCAAATGAGTAGGGGTTTGTTGAAGATTGGGAGCATGAGAGGAAGAAAGGAATGTGGATAGCTAACGTGGCAGATTGCTTCCTAAAGGATGATTTCTTTTAAAAAAAATTTATACAGCTTCTCTTAAGGGTTGTAATTCCCCTGGTCCCTCCTCCCCTCCCCTTCACTCCACTATATTTAGTTAAGAACAGAGTTTTCATTGCACTATGTTCCTGGGAGAAGTCAATATTGCAGGGGTCTCTACATCATCTGTATACTCATAGCCCAGATTACACACAGGGACACTTAATGGCAAATGTTTCTAAACCTTTCTTTTGAGTTTCTGGTTCCTTGGGGCTCCTGGTAAAACCTTTAAGATAATCTGAATGTAGCTATTTTGCAACTTAATTCAATTATAACACTGGAGCTTAATGACATTGTTTTGAAAAAAATGCTGGAATATCTGTTCCCTGAATCTCAGACTACTGCTGCATATGGTAAGAATAAAGAGTGAGTTGCAGCTGAAAACCTGCAGCAAGACAGTTCTCACTCATCTGGGAATAGAAGGAGTTGGACAAATGCTCCCTCAAAAGGCATGAACATTTGGACAGAGCTGGGGACTGAAAGAGAATGATGTTCTCTAGTTTCACCCATTAGTGAACCAACTAACAAATACAATGGTGTTGTTGTTATTCTTTTGCCATAAGCAACAGGACTCTGTGTGTGGGCAGCAGTTTAGTGGGGAGGAGGATAAGTCGACCCCTTTTTGTCCTATTGATTTTTTCCTATTTGCATGACTTGAGCAAATTAAATGATGCAATATGGCTTTTTGTTACAAAACAAAGTGAGAGATACCACCCAGACACATATGTTGATTCGTAGGAGCTGTTTACATGAGAATAGAGTGAAATCTACCGTGAACTGAGCATAAAAATTAGATTCAGCCTGGGTATTTTTTTTTTTTTTTTTAATGCCTGGGCCAGCAAGACTGAARCACAAGTTTTCCAAGAGTCTCTCAGACCTTGACAACTGCAGTGTTGTAACAGAGGAATTCTTAATTAAACCTAAAATGGGGAACGGGAGGGGGAGCAAAGACACCTGATTGTTTATTTCACGTGCAGTGATTGTTAATGACGTGATCCAGCAGTCTGTACAGTGCATAGCACACATTACTGCATCCCAAGGCAGGAAAGAGATTGCAAAGTCAAAAATAAGCATGGCTTTGCACTCGACCGACACTATGTTCCTATTTGGTTAACATTTATCAACATAAGGGAATCATAAACACCATCGCCCCTAAWACAATGTTCCTAGAGGTCTTCCTAGACGACTCACCACCACGGCAAGCCTGAATATATAAGGTTACAAAATGACAGAGTTTTATGTGATAAACACGACCCAGCAAAATCACTCGCCAGTTTTTCGGGTTCTCTACCGGAGGTATCAGGAGTTCCTTTCCGCTGGCTTAACTATTGTAATGCAAGGCACCCCCCCTCTGACGGGGCTGAGGATCATAAACCAAACCATGCTTCAACATCCTTTACGATTCAGTCCTCCCTCTAACCGAGCACGTGGAGAAAACTGCACAAATCTTTTTCCCTAGAAAAATAAACCGGAAACCACAGCCACCTTAATTTACAGTTTCACCGCAGCCAATACCCGATTTGATCCAAAATACACTGTTAATCGCGATTCTTTTAAAATATTTACCMGGCACGGGATGAGGGTACCACAGAAGCGTCTCTTTTCTGAGACAGACAAGTTTGCACAGCATCCCGACCGCGGGCTCTGGGGGCGGGAGAGCTATCTGCGCACCCCAGAGGATCACACAACGGAGTCACGTTAGCGCTTTAAACAAGTTATCAGCAGAACTCCCCGAACAAGTTTTGCACTTCTTACAGCGACCAGCATCGCCAGAGCCACAGGGAACCCCACCCAGCCTTATGCCAAGTTCGCATCCGTGAGGCGGGCGAGTCCCTACCTTGTTCTCCAGGCGCCCCAGCCCCGGGCTGTCACTCCGCAAGCAGCAGGACAGCCGAGGGTAGAAGCCACCGCACAGCATCTCTCCCCCATTCAGCAGCTCCAGCTGGGACATCAKCCGCCTGTCTCTCCTTTTCAGGCGCTTCGGGGGGTTCCCATTCAGGCACCTTCTCCTCCTGGCTGCGCTCCCGTCGCTCCTTTCCCCAAACTTAGCATCTCCTTCAAAGAAGCCCAGAGCCACGGCCAGCAGTAGCAGCTTAAAGGAGAGCATCTTCAGCATCGTCTGCCGTGAGCGGCAGGGGCTGGGCGCGCGAGGGTGGGGGGTAACGCCACTGCCCAGCAGGGGCACTAGGGCGCAGCTCCAGGAGGAGGCTACCGGGCTGCGGGACACTGGAGAGGCTGAGGAAAGTGGCCCGGGCGAAAATACGTAAAGCGATGCAACTTTGCAAAAAAGAAGAGTCGGGGCGATGGGTCCAATGCCTCGGGGGAACCGCAGGAGCGAGATAAAGTTGTGCAGATGACACCGTTTGCGGCTGTGCCAGTGTCAGTTGGGTTAGGGGCTTTCCGCTGCAGCTGGGACGTGGGAGGAGAAGGAGTTGGAAAAGGAGGAGGAAGAAGAGGAGACGGCCACAGAAGTTCACTTGTCCGTGTAACGGGAGTTGTTTAGGTGAGACAGTAGCAGGAACAGAAACGTCGGCGGTGGCGGCGGGGCAGGCGGAGGCAGGGCCARCGCTGGGCTCTAGATGATGCTGAGGTCTCCTCTGCCGGCGGCTGCAGCTTCTCACACAGCCTCTCATGTTTCGCTCCCTCTTTTCTTCTTCTTTTTAACTAGCGCGCGGGGAGGTGCTGCCACCGCGCGCCCCTTGACGTCACCACTTCTCGCGCGCCCCCGCCCGGGTGGGGGAGAGGGGAGGGGGCGGCCCCGGGGCGAGCGCGTCCCCGGGCCCCGGCGGCCTCTGGCTGCGGCTGGGAGGGGCGGCGGGCCCCGGCGGACGGAGGGGGAGGGCGGCGGAGCCGGCGGAGCCAGCCTCGAGGGCGCGGGACCTAGCGCGTCCGCCTCTCCGCGGCGCCCGAGTGGGGGCGGCCGGGCCGAGGCACCCAGCCCGACCGGCCGGGGGCGAGGGCGCAACCCAGAGGCTGCCCGGCGGCCGCGCTCCTCGCTCCGGTCCGCAGCCCCTCCGCACCTCCCGGGCTGAGGCTCCCAGAGAAAGTGAGTAAGAGTGGGGCCCCTTCCAGGGCTCCCCGACCCCGGCCCGCCCCCGACCGCGGGGGAGGATGAACTAAGGCGGCGGAGCGCGCAGCGGGGAGCTTTTAGGCTCCTTTCCCTCCCCCAGCCCGCACCGGCATCCCCAGGTCCCCAGAGATCCTTGGGGGCTCATTTCGAAGCGCCAAGGAGCGCGCGCGGGGCGTGGGGGGTGTGGGTCCCAAATGCTGCGGACTTCTAAGTTGAGTTTGGTTTGGAGACTTTGGGAAAAGGGTCACTCACCCTCTCCTCTCCCAAAGCCCTCAATCTATTGAGGTGGCACAGACGGGTGAACGTGGCATAGGCTCGGGTGGGGTTTCGGGGAGCAGGTTGAGCCAGCGCCTACCTCCCGCAGGGTTTGCCGCGGTCTGGGCAGGTTGGCCCCAGCTCCCCTTTGGAGGACCCCACACATGTCCAGGAAGCAAACCTCCTTGCCTCGCAGACTCAGGACCCGGAATTCAGGTTCCGCTGCTCTAGGTGGGCATAAAGAAGGTCGTTGTGGAATCAGCGTGCATTCTAAATATCACACACACACACACACACACACACACACACACACACACACCACTCCCCCTCGGCCCCCCGCGTGTAAATACAGATGTGTTAGTTCTGGAGGAAGAATTAGTTGCAGGTGTGTGGGCGTCCAGAAGCGCTGCCCTCCATATCCCCGTGTATACAAATAAATTAACCTTTCCCCCAACGAGACAAAGTCTGTGTAAAGGAAGTGTTTATTTAAAAAGAAAGAAAGAAAGAAAGAAAGTCTCCGTTGTCAAGGGCAGTGACTTGATGTTCATTGGATCCCTCCAAGTTGGCATCAGAACGAGTCTCTATCGGGTTGCACACAGAATGTGCTTTTTGCCCGTTTAGGTGTTTAACAGGGGAATTGATTTTCTGGTGGATGGGTTTTGATGAGGAGATAAGACAATTTCCCATTTTGGCAATGGAGGAACGTTCACCATATTTGGATTTGCTTCATTTCTCTGACACTGATTTCACCAAGCTCATGTAAAAGTTGGTGATGGTTGACATAGTTAGCTGATGAAACTGATTGCTCAAGTGGTGGCAGTGGCTAGGTTAGCCYTCTGTCCCTTTTACTTTCTGGGCCTGGGTTTATGATTAGAGCTAAGTATTTACCAAAAGAGCTGACTGATTACAATAACTGAAAAGAACCTGCTGGATGTTTGGCTCAGTCCTCAGCTAAAGGTAAGGCCCTTAAGACATTCTTRACATTTCTGCCAGGAACTGTTGTATATATCTGTATACATGTGACTGTAAATGCTACTTTGGATCCCATAGACTGTTTTATTTGACTGTCTGCCTGCTTGGAGAACTTTAAATATAAAATAAATCAGCTATAAGGACTTTAAGACTTTAAACTCTTTTATTTAGTAGATCTTGAGCTGAATCCCATCAAAGTTAAATCACTTGCACGATTTCATCTAATTAGGGATTCTAAAAATCAGGAACCAAGAACCTGATCTAAGATAYTTTCCACTCTTTAAGGCTTTATGTCCAAATATGAGATTTGTGTTCTTTTTCCAAAATGAAGATTCTTATAAAATCATATTTCAGTGGTTCCAGCTCCTGATCTAAGTGATGAATTCATCTAAGTACTTTGGAAACAGGTCCTCCTTATGGTTTATACTTCAAGACTAAGGACACTTAAAGTATATTAATATTGGTTTTTAAAAATGATGTATCTGTTATAACCCATGGCCCTAAGTTTCAAGATATACAGCATTTCTAAAAGATTACTGAAATAAGACATGCTGGTTCTTTCTTGACATATGGATCTAAAATTGACCCTGTCTACTGTTCATTATGAAAGTCAATAATCAGGGCACTTAGGAGGTAGCTGAACTAATTCTTACGACACTGATATAATTTCCACATAGTCACTAAGCAGTGATACAAGTAGACTAACTTCTGATTTTTTCCCCCCAGGGAGAACACTACAAATCTCACCCATATCCAGATCAATAGTATGATTTCTTAGGAATCAAGAATCAACACTGGGTTATTTCYGACTGTTAACCCTGAGAGCCCACTTGGACACTGCAGCAAGAAAGGATAACCATCCACAYACTTGGACATGAAAAATGATCTTCGATCAGGGAGTTCTCTCTCTTCAGCTCAACCACCAGAAATAGAAGGAACACCATTCTGACCAAACTCATCCAGATGAATCAAGTCAACCCTTTTTAGCAAGGAGTGGAGCTGCAGAAGGGTGGCCAGGTCACTGTCTTCTGCTCGCACCATCATTGAGCAGCCTCCTCCAGAACTGCCACCTAGAGTGGTCCTCCCACTCACTGGTCGTTGTGTATTGGGGTGTTACTGTGTCTTCCCAGACAATGTGGCTCTTTTTCTAATTTGCACCAAGGCATCTATATGGGCTAGTGCCCACTCTGGCTATTCTGCCCCTAACCTGAGTCCTATCCAGGATTATAKTCCTTACTTTGAATGAATAAGTAATTCTCAAGTACAAATTAGGTTTATTGTGAAAGATGAGATATTTGATTTAAATTGAAAATGAATTTCATAAGTAAAGCTCAAAATATGCAAGTGAATTTTGTATATATGTGTCTATGTATATATATTTGGACATATATTTCTATCATCAGAAGGTAGGACAACTTTGAAAAAAGAAGTTAGGCCAACTTAAATTGCTAAATGTTTAAAAGAAAACTATTTGGGGTTTTGGAATCAGTTTAATATATGGATTTCTGGCCTTCACAGAAATATGTATTATTTAATTCCATTTCCACAGTCCCCTATGCTAAGCAGTATGTATACAGTTATGGAAAATGATACAAACACTCAGCCTCCAGGTAGTTAATCATCTAGTGAGGAAGACAAATGATAAGGTCACAAATAAATTTATAGCTGTAAATTATAATAAGTGCTTTGAAAGAAATGCCAAGATGAAGGATAACAAATCACATCCATCCCAAGATTAAGTGACTGGAAAGAGCCTCTGTGGGGAAAAGACATTTCAACTGAACCCCAAGGGTGCGTCAGAGTTTATGAAGTGACTTCACCTTGCCATTTAAAGTAGAGAAGCATTTGAATTGAGAACAGAATTTGGCACATTTAAGAGAACAAAAGTGCAGAATAAAATAGATAACTAAAAAAAAAAGAGGCCAGAGACCAAAATTCACAGTATCGCCACTAAGGAAGTTTGGGAGACCTTGCTACTACTGTGTGATTCCACAGAGGAAGGTCGGCCGACAGAGGCGAAGAATAAATCCACATCTTTTAAAAATTGAAGATTGGTTATAGTTCAAGTGCACTGACACAGTGGTTGGAGCTACTGGTTAATATGTCTTTCTGAAGTTGGCATTTCTGTGTGCCAGACACTGCTCTGGGGACACAGCAATGAGCAAACTTCTCCTGGAGCTTGTTCTCATGGGGGAAATAGAGAACAAATAGCTGTGGACCATACATGGCATTCAATGCATGGACCAAAGGAATCAGGAGGAAGAGGGTGCAGCAGTTGAGAGAAATAGTTATTTCCCAGACACAGGAAAGGTGTCTACTGAGTGAGTGATTGGTCATACATGAAGCAGCCAGCCATGAGGATGCAGGTATCTGCGCACAGGGAATGGCAAGTTAAAGCTATGAACACACCAGCACTCTTATTGGGTTCAAGAGTTATCAAAGAGGCCTATGTGACTGAGGGGAACAGGTGACTGAGAAAATGACAAGAAGGAGGGCAGAGAAGTAACCAGGGCCCAGATCTTGTGAGCAGTTATGGACTTAAACTCTTATTGAATAAGTAGGTCAGGGATCTTATCAGAAATAAACTCTTTAACTATTTTCACAAAGTGAATTAAATGTAAGGAATTGGTTAAATGGATGTCCAAGAACTACAAGAGCTAAAAGGGAACACTAAAGAGGAATTCCTGAGGCTGCTGCATCCCCAGGCTTGGGGCAGCTGGGGGAGAGTTAGTGTTGACAGGACCCAGAAACTTGCACCAGCTCTGGAGATGTGGTTGCTGCCCCTTGGTGCTGATCCCCTGAGATGGTGAAAAGAAGTCCCTCATAGGAGTGCCCGCTAGCCTTTTAATTAATTAATTAATTAATTTTTTAAATGTAGGCATTTTCTCCTTTGTTCTGCCTTGGCCACTTCCCACCAATTTGAAATGTTTTGCCTGTTTATTTTCATTCAGTTCAAAATACTTTCTGGCAGTCCCCACCCACAAGTTCTTTGACCCAGAGGTTATTGAGAAGTGGCTTTCTAGATGTTTAGGGATCTTCTGTTGTTGATTCTAACTCAGTTCCATTGCAGTCAGAGAGTATACTCCATATGCATTGAATTTTTAAATTTTGAGACCTTTTTATGG